TATTTTTTGTATTATATACAATATAATAAATAAATAATATATATTATCCAGAAACATAATAATAATATAATATTTATTACACACATAAAAATATATATCCAGATAATACTAAAAGTCCGAAAAGAATTTCTTTTTAATTTCCGGCTTACAAAATGAATTCCTTTCATTCTAGTTCTGTTTTAAATTATTCCTGAGAATCCCAAAAGATTTCATTTTTATGTCATTAGTTGTGAGTTCTTTCAGATTCAAAAGATTTTCTAATCATTTTTTATACGAGTATATTAATTTTGTATAAAATTAAATACTGGGGTTTTATGTAAATTAAATATTTATATATTTGTACATGCATATAAATATATTTATATATATTTTTTAATTCTTTTTTAGTTCATTTCGAACGGATTATGTTAATTCATAAAGAACTTAAAAAGATGAATATTTTTCGAATTCAAATGGATTATACTATCTGGGTAAGTAGAGGAAAGCCTTCTATTAATGAGATAGGCGCCTTCTATTAAGATGAGATAGCGGCGTTTCTGCTAAACTAATAAACGCTATTGGTTCATGAATTTGCTCTTGAATTGAAAATTATAGTAGGAAATTCATTATTAGATCATGTCTGTAGTCATTGTAAAAAAAGATCTTAGAATTTGGATGTCTTCAAGTTTCATTGAGATAAGCCTTTAAATCTTGTTTATTATTTAATAAATAAATATTTGGCAATAAATTCTTCATATAGTGATAAAGTAAGGTCGTACCAATAAAAAAATACGAGATATGTTGAATTGTTTAATTACAGAAGATAGATTTGATGATCGTAAAATCATAAGGCGTGGAAATCATAATATGAGATACCCAGAAAATTTCTAATATGAAATAATATTGCTCCTATGTTATAATGAAAATCATTGCTAAAGAGTAAATGTTATTATTCAATAATAAAAAGGACAACAAGAATGAACGTCGAATGCCTATTTCTGCGATGTTTGATTCCAACTATCTGAAGAGGAGTTCTGGATATAATCTATCGTATGCTCATTTTTTTTCACGCACGCTGACTGTGTTTGTTTGCATTTTAGAAACATGAAATAAAGTTTTTTAATTGCAATACTGATATACTTTACATTTTACTATTGATTTCTCGGGACATTTTATATTAGGAGCACAATTTTTTGATTTTATAATTTGCTCACTTTTTATTTTTTTCAAGTGAGCAAATCATAAAGTCAAAAAATTGTTCTAATATGAGATGCCC